GTGCTGTTGCAGGGCTTGGCTGGGGTTGCTAGGTAACGGTGCAGGGCTTGGCTGGGGTTGCTAGGTAACGTCGCAGGGCTTGGCTGGGGTTGCTAGGTAACGTCGCAGTGCTCGTGGAATGTGACACCAAAAGAACATGAACTTAATAGGCCGTCTGTATGTTACCATGTTTACATCCGGAAATCTTTGCGCAAAAAGACGATTCTCCGATTTCTCTGTTTGGAGATGTTGGTATTATTTATTTAACCACAGTGCGCCACAGCAAAGGGGAAAATAACGCAGAAAAATTGTTAAAGAACAACTCAAAACCACTACAGCAACTACGCTACACACAGACTCGTTGCCATAGCAACTGAAAACAACTCCGCTACACGTATCAGGATTCAACACCAAAAAACACGCAATCATTTCCCAAACGAAGAACAGAACATTCAGTCCCTTACAGTTTTATGTTTTCAGGTTTTATGTTCATTGTGTCCTTAAGTGATCGCTGTGGCAGATTAGCTACACTGCTGTTAGCTAAGCTAACATAGTGGTGTTTGATTAGCTATACTGCTATTAGCTAATACAGTGGTGGCTGATTAGCTATGCTGCTATTAGCTAAGCTAACACAGTGGTGGTTGATTAGCTAATTTAAACACCTACTCTACTGATCATCTGTCAGAGTTGGTGTTTAGGCCGCCTTTTTGTAAAAAATTTTTTAATTGAACCAAAACACAACCAATTCCACATCACATCTACATGTAATTTTGTCATAGTCAAGCTAGCATAATTGAGCTACTTCCCTCTCCCTTGCTATTTTGTCTTAATTAAAACTTTTTCCCGACATTGCTATCTAGTTGTCGTAGTGCTATCAGTTAGTAGCAAAGCGCTGCGTCCCTTTTGCTTTTATACATCACGCGTACATTTCAGACGTTGATAACTTGACTTGTGTTTTTGTGTTTATTAGAAGTAGTTGAGACCCAAATAGAAGCATAAAAATGTGTGAAATGTGAATTTTAGGCCCCCTTTTTAAAAGAAAAGAAAGAAAAAAAGAAACTTTTGATTATATTTATTTATAGTAATTATTCGGGTTGGCACCAGTTAAGAAACCATTTATTTTTTCGGTTAAAGTTTGCGCGCTCCGTTCCGCTTCTTGTGAGCTGCCCTGTTTACCTTCAGAGGTTGAATCAGAGTGATGATGAAGCTCTCGCGGCGAGTGCAGCGTCCTTATGGAGCGGCATCTGGGGAGTCTGACAGCAGCACTCTATTACCACTCAGAGAAAGGAACCCGAGGGCGGCGACTTCACCGCTACCAGCCACATCCAGCTGCGCCGACGCCTCCAAACGCACACGCAGCCAAAACCATGCAAATGAGGAGGAACATTCACAACTCGCTGCTCCACAAATCGGACTTATGTTGTGTTGGAAAAGTCGTTTGTGGGTGTAAAGATGGAGAGATGAATGAGTGAAAGTCAGGCTTTTTCCAGCGCCTGAGCTTTAAAGCCTGGGGTGGAATGGCTAACAGCTCTTCTGCTAGCCTGCGCTGCTGGGCACATTAACTAAACTCATATCGCTCTCAGCCACTATCAATTATTCACCGCCTCCTCCCTTATTTCCCCTCGTTTCAAAGAAGAAAACCTCTAACAGAAAACACACTGCAGTCACAGAAAAACCTCCAGCCTTTGGTGACATGTTGGGACTTAAATCATTGTTGGAATAAAACAATGATAATTAGAAATGAAACTTAACTTTCTGGGCTAATGAGCTAACATCGGATTGATATCACCCCAATAAGAAAAACTACAGATAAATCATCTTTTCACAGGGAAAAATAAAACATTAGTTGCTGCTAAAGCTGTGGCATATTAGGGTTATAAAGTCCAACTCCAGTTATAATAATCATTTTAAAACCGACCTGTCTTTGTGTTTTATTAGCCGCATTTCCATTACAAACTTTCTCAATATTCTGCTAATGTCAAAGAAACTCAATTTTGCAATATCGTTGTTTCCATTTAATAAGAAGCGAAATTAAAATCACACCTGAATAAGATTGTTTATGCGATAAGAAACATTCAGCGCCATCATCCTCCCACCACTTCCTGTTCTCTTCTTCTTTGTGGTTTCCGTCAGTGGTACCTTCACGTTGCAGATCGTGTGATTTCTGCTGGACACCATGTTGGTATAGATCAGGGCCGACATCCGGCATGTTTTAGTTCTCTCCCTGGTGGTCGTAACAACCTCCTCAGCATGTGTTCTGCTTAGGCCTCTAACGAGCCTCATTTGATGCAGATGTGCTGAACCAGGGAGAGACTAGAACATGCAGGATGCCGGGCCTCCAGGACCCACTTTGGACATCCCTGGTATAGAGATTTAGCGTTAGCAGAACAAATGTTCTTGGTTAGCGCTTTAGGTTTAGTGCGAGTGACTTTTCAGTTAGCTGTGCTAATAATGATTAACATGATATACTTAACCTCTAATAGCCAAAGTATTGAAAGGATGACAGACGAGTGTCCTTTTCAGAGGTGAACTGCCTCGCTGCAGAGTGCTGGAAGCCACCATGAGACATTTCAGCTTCACATTTAATGAAATGCACACAATTATTGTGATGAGGGGCGGACGAGCGCTGGCCGGTCTCCAAGTTGGAAACAGTCGTCAGGGTGTATCAGTGCGTTGATGGCTTAAAAGTCAAAGTTCAGTCATGAGCGTTGGGGTTTTCTCTGCAGATATGTTTGCCCTTCTCTGCAACCTCAGCATCTGTAGGTGAGAACGGCTCGTTACCATCGGTCCACTGCAAAAACACCAAATCTTACCAAGTATTTTTGGTCCAGTTTATAGTGTAAACGCCTTATCACATGTGAAATAAGACAAAACTAACTTACAAGGAACTTTTAAGCAAGATATAGATTGTTTTAGTCAAAAATAAAGTCCTAGTTCCTTTGAGCCTTTACCTAGCAACCCAGCCACGCCCAGCCCGTTGCCTAGCAACCAGTTCTAGTTCCACTGCTAGATTATTTCACGTATAACATGGGAACAAAACACAAAATCTGTTTTTGAAGATTTTGCAGTGTTTCCATCATTTAGTTTTTAGTGTTTCAAGTAACTTTTCAACAAGATTTAACTTCTTTTAAGTCAATAATTCCTTCATTTTGATCAAATTCTATTTTCACTCACAAATTTTGTCACTTATAAGAACAATGTTCACATGTAAAAAGTGCCATAATCTGCCTGTGTGACTGGGATTTTATTAGTATTAAGGAATTATTGACTTAAGCTGAAAAGTTACTTGTAATCTGTTTTTGTTGTATTTCTTGTGCACTGAGACATTTGCATAATAAACCAGACAAAAATATTTGGTAAAATTAAATGTTTTTGCTTGTCTAAAGCCGTATTGATGAAGATTTTAAAGAAATAAATGCCTGAAGAACTGTTTATGTATTTTTGCTTATGATTTCATATTTTTGCAGCGTCTGGCTGATATTTATCATGTTTAGCTGTGACGACTCTGGAAGAGTTCAGCCGTAAGTCGGCGGTGGCGGGAAGCAGCTGGCGCGGCGGCCGTCCGACCGTCTTTGTGTCCATCGTCTCCATCCTCCGGTCGGCGCCCCCGCCCGCGGGACGCCGGCTCTCTCCCGCCCAGGCACCTGTGGGGTGTCACCTGATGGGGGAAAAGCAAGTGGAAATGAAAGCAAGCAGCCGATTCTGTCAGAGCGCATCAGGGCGGCTGTCTGTCACGCCGCTGACCTTCGGGGCAGCGCGCGCTTCAGCGCGATGCGTAAACCCTCAAAGTGTTGGAGCGCGTGCGAGCCGCGGCCCGCGGGGAGCGGATGTGAACGTGTGCATATGCTTGTTTATCAATGCATGGTGTGCAAGAGCAAGTGTGTGTCTATTAGCGCCCTGAGTGGGTGGCGTAAACACGCAGCGCTCCGGGGTGTGTGTGTGAGCGTGTGTGTGTATCAGTGCAGTGATCTGTGTGAGATAGCTGCGTTAGCTGGCAGGTCGCTGACATCGTCCACTCCACAAGCAAAACTCCTGATTTAATCTGGAAATCCGTCCTCAGGTTGAATGCTGCTAACCTGGAAAACTGGAAACAATCTCTGAGGGTTCCTTATGGGTCCTGGAAATCCTTGAAAACCCTCCTTGAATTTTAATGAGGTTTTGGAAAGTACAAAAGGGTGTCGGGACAATTGTAGGTAGAAAAATACAAGAGTAAATTACTACGAAAAGAATATTTTCAGGTCAGTGACATTTTCTAAAGGAAACATGAACATTTTGAAAAATCAAAAATGTGCAAGAAAAACTCAAATTTTGAGACTAATCTTGACAATTTCAAAACTGGAGAAGTTTTGACTTTTGAAACTTATCAAAAGTAGAAAATTTCTGGAGATTAATCAGAGTTTTTCTAGCAAATGTTCAGTTTTTTATTGAGAACATTTCTGATCTCTAATCTTTTTTTCTGGATATTTACTCTTCATTTTTCTTTCTTTTTTTTGGACAAGTAGTTAGGTTTGGGCAGGCGCAGAGGCGAGACAGGGATTCGGAGAGCGAGGAAAGGGAAAGAAAGGGAAGATGGAGAAAGAAGGAAAAAGAACGCAAGAATAAGAAAAATGGAAAGAAATAAGGAAAGAGAGAAGGAGAGAGGCATGCAGGCTGTCCTCTGCTCGGCTGCGGCCGTCCAAGCGGCAGGAATGGAGGGAGACAGGAACTGAAGCCCGTCAGCTCCTCCCTCAGGCGCCTCGGCCTCCCAACTACAAGTCCGTGTTTTAGCGAACCATATGTTCCCCCGAACCCCCCATCCAGAAAATAAACAAGTCAGGAAGCCATGGCCGCAGGGAAGTCTTGTTTCACTGCTTTCATTCCCGAACACTCACTCCACTTCCTGCAGACTCAAACTGCTCTGGATGAACCATCAGCAAGATCTGAGGTTTCCTGGTTTCCACGCATTCAAGAGAGAAAAGGAACAAAAATATTTCAGGGTTTGACCTGCATGTCAGAACGTCACAGGATGTAAATGTCGTCTTCTTCCACCTGCAGATCGTCTCCTTTGGAGCTGCAGACGAGACAGGAGGTCAGGAGGTCAGGAGGACTTCAGGAAGTCGGACTGCTCACCGTTAACAACAGAAGGAAGGAAGGAGAGAAGGAAACAGGAAAGAAACCAAGAAAAAAGGAGAAGAATACGTTTATTCCTGTTGGTGTTCCCACGCTGCACTGAAACTTCCTTATTTTTCAATTCAAACAGACTGAAGTTGGAGAAAACTCCTAAGAGTCACTTTTTGATTTTCCACCTGCTGATCCAGGTGTGTTTCAGACACCTGTTGCTTTAAGAACCAGGTCACACCTGGACGCCGTCAGCAGAAACAGACGTTTTACAGATCCAGCATCCAGGTCTCAGACACAACTAACAGAGACCTTTTCAGCTGTAGGAGCCTGTTCAGTCAATAATTCTTTAAATTTGATCAAATTACTTTTAATGCCAATAAGTGAAATAATCTGCCAGTGGAACTGGAACTGTCAATATTTATGAATTATTGACATAAAACAAGCTGTTATATCTTGCTGAAAAGTTCTTTGTAAATTAGTTTTGTCTTAATCCAAGTGTGCTCTGTTAGTTGTACTAAACTAGACGAAACACTTGGTAAAATGTTGTTTTTACAGTGTTGATGAGAACAGATGTAGGAGGTTTTTTCATGAAAATTAGATAAAATCACCATATATTTACCAGTAATTGTTTGCGATCATCTAATTCTGATTAGAAACCTGTTTGTTTTTCTAAACGTTGGTGATTTTATCCACAACCAACAGGTTTAGTGTTGAAGCAGACTGAAGGTTCAGGGTCTGAAATCAGAAACATTTTTAGTAATAATCAGAAATGAAACTCTGTGGTTGCAGATCCAGTTCATTGAAACGTGTGTGACAGATGGGCGGGGCGGGTGTTCGGGTTCTGCAGAGCTGATCGGTTCTCCCTCTGGGCAGGAGAAAGAGTCCGGACATGGACAGATGTGCCGAAGGCCGGGCGTTGGCTCGCTCCGTTTCGGGCTCCCTCAGGGCCCGGTACTCACTGACCGCGGAGCGGCGGCCAGTTGGCGGACTCAACTTCCTCACAAAGGTCAGTCATCAGCTGCCAGTTCCAGCCCAGAACATCAGCTCATTCCTGTGGGCTGGACTGGACTCTGAACCGAAACCCTCACCGGGTTCAGTCCGATTCCTCCTGTGTTGTTTGTAATTTGGGTATTTCATTGCAGCAAAATTCACTATTTTTGATGGAATGCTTAAATAATCTGAATTAACTTAATATTGACTTTTTTGAACACTAAATCATGTTTTAATTAACATTTCTGAGATGAATTAAAAAATTTCAAAGTTTTTCCTTATTTCTTATAAACTTATAGTTCCACTGGCGCCGTTACCTAGCACCCCCAGCCAAGCCCAGCCGTTACCTGGCAACCCCAGCCAAGCCCAGCCGTTACCTAGCAACCCTAGCCAAGCCCAGCCGTTACCTGGCAACCCAGTTCTGGTTCCAGTGGCAGATTATTTCACTTATAACTCAGGAAAAATGGCTTGTTACAAGTGAAATAATCTGAATTATTGGCTTTAAACTAGCTTTTGCCATGTAAAATTTACTTTTTTGAGTTTTTACATCTGTTAACATTACTGAAATTATTAATTTCTGAGTTTTAACTCTACACTGTAAAAACATAAAATTAGTACACTTGATATATGGCTAAAGTCGTGCTAGGCTAAAGATTTTAAATAATGTGCAACAATTGTATCTTGTGTTTTTTATGTCGCTTGTTCCTCTCATTCATTAACTTCCTGAGCTTACATATGAAGTTTCTTCAGCACAAAATGAGGATTAAATATGCAGTTCTCACAGACACACCAGCAGTTGAGTTTTTGTTACCCAAAACTCTTTTTCCATGAAGCCCGGAGGTCCAAATGTGATAAAAATATCACTGTTTTGCCAAATATCCATGTAAGTGTTGAGGCGTTTTCTCCTTTCACAGCCCTGAGCCTTCCTGAAGACCTGAGGGCAGCTGAGAGTTTGGATGTTTCAAAAAGACAGAAACATCTATTCACATTCGCTTTAATTTATAGCTTTTTGTTATGTCCTTATTTCAAATCATAACTTTATAGACCATATATTATCACTTGTTTAATAAATCTGTTTTTATATATATTTTGGTGATTTAAGTTAATAATAATCTCAGCAAGTACAATCATGTCAGTTTAACAATATTTTCAACAAAACAAATTGAGTTTGCAAAAATAAACTTCTCAGTCCGTCACACTTATCATTGCTGCTTTAGGTTTAGCACAGCTAACATTTTAGCTAGCAGTGTTCACTGCTGGCAGCAACACATTTAAGCCAATATATGTTGCTGCAATAGAAGGTTAGCATTAACATTGATGAATTTAGCACTTTAGCATTAGCTTCTGATAAATACCGTGTTGTACTTTAGCATTAGCGTAACTAAAATTTATGATTAGTGCTGTAGGGGTTAGCATGGCTAACTTTAGCCGTGCTTGCAGCCCATGACATCATGTAGCTGCAGACTGAGCCTGAATGGAAATCCACCTCCACAGTCTCCTGTGGACATTTTGAACAGTGATCACCACTTTATAGATTTTGCTGTCATTGATTTTGTCAGCAGAAACACATGGACACACGGTTAGCGACATGACAGCCTGTCTGCTCCATTGAGCCATCACTGACCTTCCCTGAATTCAGACTTGCCAAGCCAATTGACCAAATCGCTGATCTTTAAGAGGAGCGGGTTGAGTGGCACTAAACGCGCACACACACACACACACACACACACACTTCACACACCTCACTGTGTAATCAAGGAGGGAGGCAGGCAGGACTCTGGGTCACAACAGCGACAGTAATGAGAGGCGACAGCTCCTTGGCGCTCGAGGCAACGACCAGCTCGGCTGTCGAGACCGCGGAGCGAGTCCGCCAGGCACGCACTGAGGCAAGGTTTGCTGATTTGGGAGGGAGATGGAGGGAGGAGAGGGGGCGAACTGGGACGGAGCTGGTGGTACAGATACACTGAGTCGATGCTAAAACGCAGATCTGATGTCATAGAAACACATTTCTTCTAATCATCACTTATTATCTGATGTATTTATACCGTTTATCAGCAGCAGGGATGTCAAAGCTGCAACACACAAGCACAACGTCTGACATGCATCCTGAGCAAGCGGTGGAGCCCTGAGGCCGCCGCGCACGGCGCTGCTGACCCCTCCCTCTCCGCCTCCTCCATCCTCCTCTGGAAGACAGTTTAACTTCTGTCATTTTCGTGAAGCAAGTGAGTCAGTTTCGCTGCGACGAGAGGATGTGACAGGTTGGTAATGGACAGGACAAAGAGGGGACTTATGAAGTATTAGTAAACCTTAATAATTCACTAAACGGAAGACCCCAGGAGGCCCCCACTGGCTCCCATCCTGGCTCCGATGTTTTCTGGCTGTCAGCGCCAGATCATGATGAGAGATGATGCCAAATCACTGACCAGATAAAGAAAACCTCAAAAAGATTAAAAATGCTCTTTAAGCAACATTTCATGCAGTAGCTTTGGTTTATCTAATGATATGTCAAAGTTGTAATACGTTCCAAAATGTAGGTGGGAAAATAATTTGTGCATTTAGTTTTTTTTCTTTTTGCCATTTCAAGATTTAAAAGACAAAAAAAAGACAGATGTTTGAGTCAGGATTTAACAAAACTTAACTAAATCTGGCAACCAGACCTGCAGTCACAAAGTTGGAAAAATCATTTAAAACCCAAAGAGATCTGCAGCAAAGAGCAGCATCTTTAGTCACAAATAAAAACCATTAGATGCTGCGTTCATGCTAACTATTCACACCAGTCCTGTTTAGCTTTAATCCGTTTTGCGTAGGAAGAACGGTTCGTTTGGGGAAATGTGAATGCTAATCGAACTCTGGTTCTCCAAACCTCAGTCTGGGTTTGGTTAAAGTGAACTCTGGTTCGGTGTGAATACATGCGAGACCGATCCAAAAGCAGGAAGTGGACTTATACTACCCAGTTCAGCAGCAAGGCAGTTCAGAGTGCTTTACATCATAAAACCAACATACATTACATTTTGCCATTGTCAAGATCATCATTATGCATTGAATATGTTGGTCAATGTTTGAACTCTGAACTCTGAAAGGTTTAAACCAAATTCTGCTGAAGGCGCCAGATAAGTTTGGGAAACCCTGGTTTATTGGTCACCACTCATGTTTGTTTATTAAAAGATGCTCAGAGCCTCTTTGTTCCTGTCTGCAGATCGCTCCTTCTACAGTCCCCACCTTGTCACATGTAGCTTCTTCTGCAGCCGCTGACCACCAATTATCTGTGATCAGAGTCTAGCTGGTCGCGATTAGACCGAGTGGTGGCCTGGAGGGACACACACTCCGCTTCCCAGCTGCTCCATCACCAACCAGAGCCGGTTCTCTGCGCTGTGACTGGCAGCCCAAGTCATTAGATCCCTGGACGCCCCCACTGGCTGCTCTTTTTGCTCCCCTTTGTGTGTGGTGGTGATGGTACTGGAGATTACAGCGCAGCGGTGACGAGTGTCAGTACGGAGCCCCGGTCCAGTCTGTTGAGGTCCGGTGTGACAGCGCCGCATCCTGACCCCCACAGCCACTCCTAAGTGCCCTGCCTGCATCGCCTCCAGAGACGCAGAGGGTGATGGGGCCCGGCACCGGAGGGGCCGCCCTGGCTGGTGCCTTTGCTGGTGGTCTCTGTGGCCTATTAGTGTCTTGCTATGGGCCTGTCAGACTGACAAAACAGGGGCCTGTCAAATTAAGTAGAGGCTGAATATCGGAGATGTGTATTCAGACGCAGCGAGGGGACGCGTTGGGGAGGAGTGAGCAGAACCAGGATGAGGAAACCACCGGTGCTAATGTCGACGCTAAGTGAGAGTGACAGTAGGCTAGCTGATCGGCGAAGGGAAAACGCAGAAGCAGAAAGAGAGACAGAGAGCTGGAGTGGCGCTGGTTGATAATGGTGGTGTGGTTGTCCTGAGGAGACTTGTTAAGGGCCCGTCCAGACAGAACCAGACAGCTACCGTTCCCAGGGATCTGAACCCAGGTAAAGCGCTCCAAGTTTGGCCCAAACAGCTCGGAGTTACAGCACTTCCACTTAATGAGATCAGCAGCAGCCAATCATCCCAAAACACAAAACCATTTAATGGAACAATGACGGTTTCCTCAGCCGGCCTGCGAGGCTCTGCTGACTGTTTGTCGCTGCACACATGAAATAACAAGCATTTACCTGGGCACCAAAGGCAGTTTTAGTTTGTTCTGTTGTGTTTTAATACACAATTAAACCGGCTCTGCTTTCTCTATATTTACCTCTGGAGGCAGATTTGATGCAGATGCTTCAGGCCACTGTGAAGACATGCAGTTTATCTGCTGTTTATAACGATCAGGAGGACTCTTTAAAGGGACAGTCATGAATTTTCTAAGTGAGATTATGTGAAGTTTTTATCAGCAGTCTGTAGGGATCTGCATAGAAAAACAATCAGATTGGTAGACGTGAGATTTAACACAAACTTCATGTTCAAAGATCAATATCTTCCAGGATTTTATTATTGTTTATGTGATATTTGGCAATGAAAATCACTAGTTTTGTGATTCTACTTTAAAGATATTTGCAAGGATTTTTGTCATTTTGGCACTTAAAGTAAATACTGTAGCACAGAGGTTCCCAAACTGTGGGGCGCGCCCCCTAGGGGGGGCGCGGGAAGTCGTCTGGATGGAAAAAAACAAAACAAAACATGAACACTGTATGCGCTGGGTTTTTACCTTAGAACCTATTTACCTATGTCAATTTGATACAGTAGAGGCTTCCACACTTCCCATATCTGTGTCCTCTGTCACTTTTATCAGTTAAAACTGTTTAATCCGTTGTTAACATGTTGTAAACTGTTTTTCCGAGCCGCTTTTAAACGCAACATGAGAACTACGACACTCGCGCTGGGTTTCCACCTGTGAAGGAGACCTGCTGCTGCTGTGCGGAGCTACAGGTGTGTTAGAATCACGGCAGCAAACCAGCAAAACGCAAAGAACTTTAAACAGTTTTTCCTCCAAACTAACCGACTGAGTTGAGTAAAGCTGTTGGATGCAGGTAATGTTAGCTAAAAGATGACTAGCTAATATCAATACAGAACCTTTCATTTTGCCCCCCAAAAAGTCGATGCGCCCCCCCCACACACACGCATCGTTTCAACCAGACAGCCATTTGTAATCCATGGGGGGGGGGCGCAGAAAATGTTTGGAAACCACTGGGGGGGGCACAGAAAAAAAAGTTTGGGAACCACTGCTGTAGCATATTAGGGCCATTGCTGATAGAAAAAACAAAAAAAGTCAATTTCTCCCAATAAACTCAAATAATTTGATATTAATGTCAGAAATTTTCTAGAAACAAACCTGGACATTTCTTAGTTTCAAAAGTTGAAAATTTTGGACTTTTGGAAATTTTCTGAGCTCCAAAGTCAAAATTTTTAAAGTGAGATAACATGAAGCTTATCGGTAAACTGTAGAGATCTGCAGAGAGACAAACAAATTGGTAGACATTTGATTTTACACAAACTTCATGTTCAAAGATCCAAATGTGATTTCTAGATAAGATCACAAATCAAGAACAGCTAATTAGAAATGAATACTGTTTGTTAATTGTAATCATATCAAACAGATGTCATTGCACTTCCATATTTGTTTGTTTTTGGTCCTAATCTGTTCTTCCGGGATTTCATGATTGTTTTGAGATGTTTTGTAGTCAAAATCACAGATTTTTTTGGAACTATTTTAAATATATTTACAAGAATTTTGTGATTTTGGCACTTATGTATGGTAGTAAATAATGACAGCGTATTAAGGCCATTGTCGATAGAAAACACACAAAAAAGTAAATTTCTGCCAACAAAAAAACACTCAAAAATTTTTAGATTAATCTGATGCTGTCTGATAATGAACTCCAATTATAAATTGTCTTCATTACTTTCTTAGGTTAAGCAGATAAATCACCTTTAATGACAGATAAAAAAAAAAATAAAATAAGGAAACTTAAAGTGCAACAACACTTTAAAACATCAAAGCTCAGCTGGGCACACCTTTACTAATAGCGAAGCTATTTGTTTGTTTTGCACTAATAGCAACTATCGTGACAGTTCACGCTGCAGGTCTTCATGCTCAACTCAATTCAGATTCGGTGGTTCACATTTCCAATTATATGCAACTTGTATATGATCTCCTGTGTGAACCGGAAACGATGTATAAGTATCCCGCATGCGCAGTAAACGTCACACATAGCGAGCATACTCAGTGTTTGCGGAAGTAAACATGGATGGGAATGGTGGCGCATATGTCGTGATTTTGAAGTTGTCCAAGTGGAGCCAGCACATTAACAACTTGATCCTCTTTTTCGTCCGCCATGTTGTTTTTTCTTCCTGCTTCCGCATATCAGGACAATTTTCGTCGAGTATCAATGGCACTCAGGTAGGCTGAACGTACAGGCCACATTTGTATCGGATTTTTGATCACATATCCAAGTAGTCTGGGTCGCATTTGTTAAGATCCAATTAGTGTTGCCATATAAGATAAGAAACATGTCGCATAAGGGCAAAAAACCATTGGATTTTGGTCAATTCAGGCTTCAGTGTGAATGTAGTAGCCTCACATGGACGCTTGTATGTCGGTCTTAGCTTGCTGACGGCTAAACGCTGCGTTGGCTAAGCTAATTTTGCTAGTTTGGCAGTAAGTACTACAGTTAACATCACTAATATTTGTCTTAATATTACACAGAGGTTGGTAGAGTACTCAAAAGTTATAACATCAATTATTGTTTAAGTTAGGAAGGAGGCGCGAGCTGATTCATAGATTGTGCCTTGTTATTGTTGTCATAGTAACTCCATAGCAACTGCCTGCCAAGATGGCTGTCGGTTGCAAAGTTCGACTCAGTTTGACGAATCAGAATGGCTATTCAAGATACCTGAAGTCATTTGAAGGTGGTTATAAAATCAATAAATCTCGTCTGGAAAAACCTCCTTAACATCTGTACTTCCGCGTATTTAGTGCAGACCTTTGCGCAGCAGAACAGGTGAAAGTGTCATCAGGCGCGCATGCGCTGCGCGGGCCGCCGTGGCTGTGTGTTTGGGAGAAGGTTTCACCTCCTCCTCATGTCGCTGTGAGTTGCTGAGACTGAGAGGCTGATGTACAGTGGCAGCTCCCCCCTCGCAGCCACGGGCC